TGAGATTGGGGACATGACGAGGAGTCTCGAAATGGTCGAGACGTAAAGATCGATATATTGGACGACTATATTCGGAGTTCGGAAAGGTTCCGAGTGATTCGGGTATTTATCGAAGTACTGGAGAGTTACGGGAATTCGCCGGGGAGAAGTTTTGGGCCTTATTGGGCCATACGGGAAAGAAAGAGGGGCTGCCTAGGGCAGGCCGCGCGCCCCCCCAAAGCCTAGTCCGAATTGGACTAGGGGGAGGGGCCGCACCCCCTCCTTCCTTCCCTTCTCTCTTCCCTTTCCTTCTCTCCTACTCCTACTACATGGAAGGGCTCCTAGTTCTACTAGGAAAGGGGGAATCCTACTCCCGGTGGGAGTAGGACTCCCCTAGGGCGCGCCATAGAGAGGGTCGGCCCTCCCCCTCCTCCACTCCTTTATATACGGGGGCAGGGGGCACCCCATGACACACAAGTTGATCTACGGATCGTTCCTTAGCCGTGTGTGGTGCCCCCCTCCACCATATTCCACCTCGGTCATATCGTCGTGGAGTTTAGGTGAAGCCCTGTGCCGGTAGAGCATCATCATCGTCACCACGCCGTCGTGCTGACGGAACTCATCCCCGACACTTTGCTGGATCGGAGTCCGGAGATCGTCATCGAGCTGAACGTGTGCTGAACTCGGAGGTGCCGTACGTTCGGTACTTGGATCGGTCGGATCGTGAAGACGTACGACTATATCAACCGCGTTGTCATAACGCTTCCGCTTACGGTCTACGAGGGTACGTGGACAATACTCTTCCCTCTCGTTGCTATGCCATCACCATGATCTTGCATGTGTGTAGAAATTTTTTGAAATTACTACGTTCCACAACACGTGTTGGAATCAGCATGCGGATATATGGATTTTGGGCGCCATCTGCTAATCTATCACCGGTGGGGTGGACAAACCATCCTGATACGTGCACGCCACGGTTTGTTGGGTCAATTGTTTCAGCCAGCAGAGGCGGAGGCAGCACAGTTGGCAGACAAAAGCGGGGAATGTTAAACGAGATGCATGGGTGTCCTTTCCCTCCGCAAGTGAAGGGGGGAAAGCTGCGAACTTTGAAGGCGCTGCCCTCGTCGACGGTGACAACCACAGCGAACAGCGCAGAAGAGGCCAGGAGCATTTATTTTTTATGTGATTGCGATTTAGTTTTGCTCATTTATTGAAAAAGGTTTCAGAACTATACAATGAGATGGTATGTACTATTTCTACCTTCAATAGAGAAGTTAAAGATATATATTTAGATTTGCATCACGTAATCTAATTGTAGAAAAACTGAATTATTTATGCACAAAAGTGGTTGTTGTGATTATATTTATCCAGGATTTTGTTATAGCCATATATGCAGGGACATTTTGATATGATAATTTACTACTCCCTCTGTCAACAAATATGAGATGTTTTTCGTTAAAAAAACAAATATAAGATGTTTTAGATTACTAAAATAATATCGCGACTATTTATTCACGAAAATACTATATTTAGATATATATGATATTTTAAAGAAGGGGCAATGAACATATATGGAAGTAAATGAATATAGCCGAGGACTAATACTTTTCTGCCGACCCGTTGACGCAGCTATGGTAGTGGTTTTGTTCAAAATAGTCCTGTTTTATTGCCATGGGAGCGTTTATTCCCATTGCAACGCACGGGGAGATACCTAGTTTACTTAAAAAGAAAGTAAGGTTTCCGTTTAACCTTTTTCCCACCTCCCTTCGTCCAACCTTCCCCGTATAATAATCAATCACCTTAATTTACTTACTTTTGAATCAGTTTCCCTTTAATTTACTTACCAAACTTCTAATCAAAATATAAGACAAATCATCGACACAAATTTGATAAATATTTATTTACACAACCGCATACTGTAGGCAGGTAAATCATTTCTGATTAAAATATATGGTAAATCACACACATAATTTGATGAACATTTATTTCCATAATCGCATATTATGAGCAGGTAAACCACAAGCTAACGTGCTATAATATTTATATCCCGTTACAACGCACGGGCATTGTTCTAGTCAATATAAACGAACTTTTACATTGAATAGAAACAAAAGTCAGCCCATCCTATACCATCCATAATTCCATATAAAGGAGAAGATGGGTCGTGGGTTCGATCCCACCACATGACTAATTTTTCCTGATTTTGTGGCCACTCTACCGAACAGTGGAGCCACCTTATAAATTTTCTTTGTGCTTAACTTATTTTCATCTAGACAATGTAAGGAACGTATGGAAATAAATATTTTTCATATATTCAGAAAATTGTTCATGATTTTAAAAAAACTTTCGCATTTGTAGAAAATGTTTGACTTTTTTATTCCATTCACAAAATTTGAAAGTATTCTCTCTAAATACATACACTTTTTGAAAAAAAAATATTTTTTATAAACACGAATAATGTTTGAAATCCCAAACATTTTTTCAAATAAGCGAAGAATTTCTGAAGTTTTTTAACCTTCATAAAAAATACAAATAAGAATTGTTCGAGATTTTCAAAATATGTTCGTGTTTGTAGAAAATATTTGAATTTTCCGTTCAAAAAATTTGGAACGTGTTTGCGATCATAAAACATTTCATTTGTTGGAAAATTTGTGCTTTCTATAATAAACATGAACAATTTTTTAAATCCCGAACATTTTTTCAAAGAAGTGAAGAATTTCTGAAGTTTATGAACTTTTCTGAAAAATATGAACAGTCTTGAAAAACATGAAAACAAAATTGAATTTTTGAAAAAAAAATTCAAACAACAATTTTAGAAACACCACCATTTTTTTAAAATCTGTATGATCAGCAAATCCAATATTATTTTCCTCAGTTTGATCCTCACAAAGATCTGAAACCTTGGATATGAATAGATTTCGTGGATCTGTCATTTTTAGATAAATTATTCTTTAACAAAAAGAGAGCTCTATCCTCTTTACTTTTTTAAAAGATTTTTAGTAGAAAGAGCTATCTTGGTAGGTGACTTCCCCAACGAAACACCTAATTTACCAGCTCTAGCATCAACAAACACTATCATATAAAAAATGACAAAAGGATAACTTCGGCATTGGGGTTGTACCTGAAGGGGGTCGCGAGAATTGGCCACATTCATGGCCCTCTCCATCTGGGTAGCATGCGCGTTCAGTTGCACCCAAGTGCAACCGATTGAGCAATTTTTTCTATGGTGGTTGTTTGATTTGTAGGAAAAAATCCCATAGAAATTTTTTCTAGGGAATCCTTTGCACTAAATTTCATAGAAAATCTAACATCCACTCATGCCTCTTTTTTAAAATCCTTTCACTTTTCCTGTGAAGGAATCATTTTTTTTTTTTGAAAATCCGTATGATCAGCCAATCCGATATTATCTTCCTAAGTTAGATCCTCACAAAGATCTGAAACCTTGAGTATGAATAGATTTTGTGGATCTTCGTCATATTTAGATAAATCATTATTTGAAAAGCAAACATTTTTTGAAAATCCGTATGATCAGCCAATCCAATATTATCTTCCTCAGTTAGATCCTCACAAAGATCTGAAACCTTGAGTATGAATAGATTTTGTGGATCTTTGTCATATTTAGATAAATCATTATTTAACAAAAAGAGAGCTCTATCCTCTTTACGTTTTTAAGATTTCTAACAGAAAGAGCTATCTCGGTAGGTGACTTCCCCAGCGAAACACCTAATTTACTACTTCCTCCGTTTCAAAATAGATAACCCAACTTTATACTAACTTCGAAGTTAGTACTCCCTCCGTCCGGAAATACTTGTCGGAGGAATGGATGTATCTAGATGTATTTTAGTTCTAGATACATCCATTTTTATGCATTTCTTCGACAAGTATTTCCGGACGGAGGGAGTATAAAGTTGGGTCATCTATTTTGGAACGGAGGGAGCTCTAGCAACAACAACACTATCACATAAATGACAAAAGGATCCCTTGATAGCATTGGGGTTGTACCTGAAGGGGGTCCGCGGGAATAGGCCACCTTGATGGCCCTCTCCATCTGGGTAGCATCCGCGTTTAGTTGCGCCCGTATGCGACCACTTGAGCGATTTTTCCTATGGTGGTTGTTTGATTTGTAGGATTATTAAATCCCATAGAAATGTTTTCTAAGAAATCTTTTGCACTAGATTTCATAGGAAATCTAACATCCACTCGTGCCTCTTTTTTTAAATAATTTGCTTTTCCTGTGATGGAATCAAACAAACTTTCGTGTTTATGAAATCCTATAAGATTAAAGTGGGTATGACATTGGAACCCTTGATTTGTAGGATTATTAAATCCCATAGAAATTTTTCTAAGAAATCTTTTGCACTAGATTTCGTAGGAAATCTAACATCCACTCGTGCCTCTTTTTTAAAATAATTTGCTTTTCCTGTGATGGAATCAAACAAACTTTCGTTTTACGAAATCCTGTAAGATTAAAGTGGGTATGACATTGGAGTCCTGCATTTTTTTCTTCTATCCTACGTTTTTAGAATCCCGTGAATCAAAGAGGCTCCTCATACTAGTAAGGTATTTAACGATGCCATTGCCATCTGGAGATTATCTATGTAGCTCAACCTCTGCCGTTAGATGACCAAATCGAACAATTTGAATTTTTAGTATACCTTGCATCTTACCGTGGCACACTAAATTTAGTTGCGCAACTGCAATAAAATCAAACAAGAAAATGGTTCAATCACTAACCTCTACATTTCATTGGGGCGAAAAAATAACAGAATGCAGCTACTGTTAGCACTAGCTATGCATTTTTCGCCTGGCCAGTCACCATCATCGTCACAAAATCAATCTATCTATTTAGGCTATATGTACAACACAACACATCACCCACCTAAGATAATGCTGTCAGAAAGAACGAGGTCTCGCCCCTGTAACTGCCGACGAAATCGGGGCCTCTGATCGAGCAGAGTTTGAAACCGGCTGCCTCCCCAGCGCAACACATCCTAACATACGAGCAACGGTAGTTGCTTATCTTACCCGCGCTGCGGCTCCTCCACAGCCTTCTCGGCCTTCCTGCAAGCAAGTCGCAGAGATCAAAAGGCGTCAGAGACTACATCTCCAACCGCAGTTCGAGCTATAAGGTATTTACTATTTAGATACGTCCATCGTCCTCTGCGGATGATGGATTTAATCGATCATGGTAATAATAACCCAAGGCAAGCAATGGCATGGTTACCTCAGCGCTTCCTTAATCTCTTCATTCTTAGGGTCGAGCTGCAGCGCCACCCGGAACGCGTCAGCGGCGCCCTCGTAGTCCTGCGCACAATGAGACAATATCAGTACCACCAGAGTCCAGAGGGAGGTATATACAAGTGGAGAGGATGAGTTCGACTGCGAGGGTAGAATCGATACAAGCAGATGTACCTTCATGAAGCTGAGGGCTGCGCCTTGACGATACCAGGCCTTGGACCAACGGGGCCGCATCATCCTGCACTTGAGCGCGTCTTCCAGAGCTAGCTTCCCATGTCTCATACGCAGCCAGCAGAGGCTCTGGTTGGCATACATGGTGGCATCAGATGGATCTGTGTCAAGTACCTGCGTTTACAATGAGTAAGTATGCAATCAGTTTAGCTCAACAGGTTGGTGAATGGATCTACTGACAGACCCTATGGAGCATATCGTTGCCTTTTCATCAGTTTGTTTTATTTTTATTTTTCTCAAAACAGAGGCTTAGTCCCTGTCCTCTGCATCATTAGTGTCTGACCCGAAGTAACAAAACAACGGATATAAGTTGTTGTCTGACCTAAGAAAAGAAGGGGCATCACAAGATGAAGTGCTACACTCGGTGTCATTGTAAGAGAGAAAAACACTCCAAGCGCCGCTATTTCATCATCGTGTGTCAGGCAGAAATGGCTCTACGGATATTGAGTTCATCTTAAACCATCAAGCAAGCTGTACAGCTACAGAGAAAATTAAAACACCACACTTTCAATCTTGAGCCTGATATTCTGGAACTATTTGTTGTGCAATCTTTGTGATTGTTCCAAACAAGTACTCCTAGATAGGCTCATGCACTTACCTTGCCATAGAAGGTCATTGCTGTAAGGTAGTCCTCCTTTGCAAATGCTTCCTTTCCTTGTGACTTCCAAAACGCAATTTTTTCTTCCACAGAAACCGAGGCCTGAACACAATAGCATGTTCAGTTACAGGCATACCGAACGACAGTTGGGCAGCACAGTAACAATTTAAAGTTCGAAAATTAAAATAATGCTGCTTGGTCCAAATTCCTTCAACCATAATCTTGTTAGGTTTGCAAACTTGGCTGGGGGCAGTACCCATACAAGTATACAACCATCATGGTTGAAATCTGTCAGAAACTTTCCTAGTGAATAAAACATCAATTCGAATTTGAATACAAACTCTATTTGGGTGTAAGAATAACATCTCCCATCATAATACATAAAGGGTGCACATCTAAGAATTTATGAAGAGCTATCTACAAGAGCACAACGAATCATTATGTAATAAGTAGATAATACGAAGCAATCAGGCATTGAGCTTCATGAGTATAGCCTGGAATGAAGTGATAAAGAAATTATTGTACATGCCTGAAGATGATTCATAAGCGGAGACTTCACGGTTCTAATTATCCCATCAACGCTCCAATCTGGCAGAGATGGAATTGGTTTTGTCCTAGGAAATAGAACTTCAACAAGGTCACATCGGCCATGAACTGCTGCTAGCTCGACTGGAATTGCACCATGCTATATCATACAAAACAACATAAGATTCCATATAATCCAGCACGAAAATGACAAAGCCATCAATGCCATTAGATTTTTCCTTTCGACCAAAAACATTGCGAGAAAAAAATGAGACATTCCTGAATTCATCGCACTGACTGTAACAGATTTAGACACTGTTAAATGAACATAACATAATTTATAGAAAGCTAGACACATAGTACTCCCTCTTGAACCATAGTACATGAACTCTCAGAGGAACACTAAAAATAATACGGAATTACAGTGACCAACTAGTATCATGATGCTGAGATGAGATATGCAAGACCTATTGTACCACTTAGCACTAGAGCCTTCCTAAGTCAGTGCAGTCTGAACTCGTTGTTCGGCAGCGTAGTCCTGTGCGACTGTGTTGGCCAGTATTTAGGGATCTACTGTATTGGAGGGCCACCTCATCACATTGTATCATCCCGCCATGTAACGTGAGTGTTGTTGCTTTATATATAAAGCGGGGCGAGAGCCTGTTTCGAGAGTGCAGTCCGAACTCTGAAGCAAACCCAAACAGATGTACTTGAATACAAACCTACTATACATAATTTAGTTGAACATGAAACATACATACAACGTACTGTGTTATATCAGGAGACCTTAGTTAGATTCCACCTTGTGTCAAATGCAAGGAAAAAGGGGCCAAGATTGCAAATCGAAAAAGCATCAAAGATAGTAAACGGAGGGATAAGATAAAAAAGCTTTGTTAGAAAATGAGATATTCCTGAATTCATCCCACTGGCAGCAACAGTTTTGAACACTGTAGAATGAACGAAACATTATTTGAAGGAAAGCTAGACACAGTACTCCCTCTTAAAGGTAGAAAATTTCAAATCGTTGCCCATTTTAAAAGTGGCTGCATGCATCAATTGATCAGAACTATGTTTTTAAGGCGACGCCTTACCGCCTTAGGGAGGGGGGGCGCTTTGGCGCCTAGGCGACGCCTAGGCGGGCGCTTTGGACGCCTAGGCGCCCAAAGCGGTCGATTTTCCAAAGCGGAGGGGGAGTGCTTCGACGCCTAGGCGTCGCCTAGGCGTCGCCTTAGGGACGCTTTAAAAACATAGGATCAGAAGCAAGGGGCTATCCTCCTTTTCGGAAAAAAAAAACTAGATACAGTACTGTCTCTCGTACTGAGAGGAACACTAAAAATGATACTGAATTCCAGTGACCTTCTAGTATCATGATTCTGAGATGAGATATGTAGCCTGTTGTACTACTTAGCACTAGAGCTGCAATATTGGGATGTCTTCCTAAGTCAGTGCAGTGAAAATTCTAGAGCAGACCCAAACTGATGCACGCAAATACAAACCTAATGGACAGCATTCAGTTGAACATGAACAATCTTTACAATGCACTTGTATCTCAGGAGAAAGGGGCCAAGATTGCAAATCTCAAAGCATAAAAGATACCCCCTCTGTAAAGAAATATAAGAGCGTTTAGATCACTACTTTAGTTATACTTACCTCGCTAGGAATGTTAGGGTCAGCTCCAGCCTCTAGGAGCAACTTGACAAAGTCGGTGGAACCGTCATCAACTGCTTGTGTTAAAGGAGTTGGTCCAAAGTTACCACGAGCATTCAGATCAGCACCCGCCTATGGATAAAAGTAAAATAGCTTTGGATGCAGAGCTTGTAGAAGTACTCATGACACGTTTAAAAGGACAGACCCAGTGCATAGAAGCTCCCACACAAGGTGGGGTCTGGGGAGGGATTATAGGAACCTAGTCTTACCCCTGCAAAGTGCAATGCAGAGAGGCTGGTTCGAACCCAGGACCTCTTGGCACAAGTGGGGAGGACTTCACCACTGCGCCAGGCCTGCCCTCTACTCATGACACGTTTAACCAGAAAAAACAAGTTACTCTACAAACTCGGGACACCAGCTAGTTACCGTAAAAGAATGAAAATCAGGACATAGTCAAACATAAAAAAAAATAACAGAATAGATCAAGTCAGTAAATTACTGGACCTCAATCAGTAGCTTCATGCATTTCAAGGAGTTCCTAATGACAGCCATCAGGAGTGGTGTAAGGATATGATTGACCAATTTGTTTGGCTGAAAAGGGAAACGAATCACAATTTTGAGAAGCGTTATTTTGATCACAAATAATATAAGCCTACAAAGTATGCAGGCGCACCTCCAAAATAAACCATTACATCGTCAGGCAGACACAGTTTATCACATTTGCCTTCCAATTTGTAATATTCTTTCTTTTTTTCGCGAGAAATTTGTAATGTTCATTCAACTAACTGAGAATGGAATAGACAAACTTACATCAGCCCCATGCTCCAACAGAAGCTTCACAACCTCGACACGGTCCTTTGCAACCGCCAACTGTAACGGCGCGCCCCGGTGATCAACAGGGTCCACGGGGACTCCTTTGGACAGCAACAGCCTTACAGCTTCGCAGTGCCCTGGAGACACAACAAACATAATGTGCAAACCCAAATAGATCAGAACTAGGGCCTCTACACTACAGAGTATACATAGACAGTATCTTTATTCAGGTAATGCCATTCCTTCAGTTCCAGGGAACCAAATAGTGAGAACACGACGCACCTTCCTCTGCCGCATAGTGCAGCGGCGTCGAGCCGTTGTCGTCACGGACGGCCGGGTCGGCGCCGCGGTCGAGGAGGTACCTCATAACCTGGACCTTCCCCGCAAGCGCGGCGTAGACCATGGGCGTCTCGCCTTACAAGGGGAACAGAGCATCTCGTAGTAAAACAGAACAAACTTTCCCTGACAAGGAGGATGCATGAGGGCTGAATTTCAGGCAGGTGGGTGCACCTGTTTTCGACGCCGAATCGACATCGAGCCCGGAGTCCTCCACCAGGAACCTGCAGATCTCCAGGCTGCCCTTGCACGCGGCGAAGTGGAGCACGGTGTCCCCTTTCGCGTCCTTGGCTCCCCGCAGGTCCACCTTCCTCGCCATTTCTGAGAAACGCAGGAAAGACCGACGTCGGACAGGAAAATCATTCGCACAAGGGGAATTCAGATGGAAATTGCTCGGATGGGACTCCGAATCGGGGACGCCCTGCCGAAATTGGGGTTTCTCCCTGCGAATCTAAGTTCATACAAATCGAAGCTCGCTCCAATTTCGCGGAGGATCACGGACTTGCGGCCAGCCCGGCCGAATCCGTCCGCAGTGCACAACACCGAGCCGCGCGAGTGTTCGGGGAGAGAGAGAGCGCGCGGCGCTTACTCTTGACGAGGCGCAGGTTGCCGTTGATAGCGGCCTCGATGGCGATATGGGAGGGGGAGGAGGCCATGGCGGCGGCGACCCTAAGAGTGGTATAGGGTTTTGGGAGGGGACGGCGTGGCCGAATTCACTATTTTGCCCTTTTGGCAACGTTTAGCATGATCTGATCCCATCTGTGAAATTTTTTCGGATCTGACCATTTTCCTACCGCCACCCGATCCGGCAGTAGGCTATAACAGGCTACCGCCGCAGTAGGGGTCGGACGGCACCATCTGCCCTGGCTGACGTGGACGCCAGAGACAATGGCGGTAGGATGTAGGCCCTACCGCCATAGTCTGTGGCGGTAGGGTGTCGAACAGGCTTTTCTCCCGTGTGGCTACAGACGGACCCCACCCACCCACCAGGTTGTTCTTCCTCCCCTGCGGTCAATCTCCCTCTTTAGTCCACCATTTTTGGGGCAAAACAAATAGGTCGGTAAGCTTCTTCAATCCCTCCAATTAGTTTTTCTAATAAGTTTGTAGTTTTGAAGCTTTTATTGGCTCTAGGTGCAATCTAGGTTTTCATGTTAAAATTTTTATGATGTTTTAGTTGTTTAGTAGCATATGATTGAGTAGTAGGTTTATTTTATTGGCTCTAGGTGCAACCTAGGTTTTCCCGAACACGAGGGGAGAAACAACCGAAGAGCTCCGTCCCCTTGTCTTCCGCGGAACCAACATCGAAAACACCAGGAGAACACAGGGGCAGAGCAGTGGGAAATATGGCCGGCACGAGGGAGAACTTGCTCAGAGCAACCTCCGCCCTCTCTAGAAAGCTCTCAACACGAGGGAGAACTTGCTCAAATCTGAATTTTGAAGGGGGGAATACAGTAGTATCTCTAATCTATGCTCTCTCTAAAGTTTCTTCACAAATG